CTAATTATATTAGCTAATAATAGCTTATAAATTAATTAATACTATATATTACATTAATTTTTAAAATATAATATAATATAGTAAAACTATATAATATTACACTACATTAAATTTTACTAAAAACTATAGAACTACACTACTTTTAATGCTCTGAAAATACCTATAAATGTATTATGTCAACCGAAATCTAGATAACAAGGCCAGCTATCAACTAGTTGGGCCACATAGCGGGCTTCCAACAAGCCTAGCACTAAAAAAACCCCTGTATTTATAGTAGCCTGGGGACCCTATAACCCGAATTATAGGTGGTTTTAAATTTAATCCAGCGCTCGTTACAGCCTAGCACCTAATACAAGTCTGTTATAAAGGTTATAGAAGGGTATCTTTCGTGTTACAGGTTAAGTATTCGGAAACTAAATATCCGATATTTTCTAATATTTTAGTTATATATAGAGGTAGAATTCTCGTCTAAATCGTTTAGAAGAATAAGCTTAAATACACTCTTTTATATGCCTTTTCTAGCCGGCTCTTTAACAATAACTTTAAAGCTCTAGTTATAACTAGTAAACACCTAGTATTATATGTTTTTACACATTTTTTTTTTCTTTTGCCTAACCTAACAGATCCTTAAGTCTAGGGGCCCGGCTAATTGTCGCTTTAAAATCTATTGATGTATTCTGTATTATTTATAGTTCATGTGCTCATTTACTCAAGTTCGTCGCCTTGCTTTTCGAACAGAGTCGCAGTTGCTCTTGTGCACACCATAATACTCCTCAGTTATATCCGCCTCGTCCCTGTTAATCTGCTCGGCCAGTTCGTTTGGCGAAATGGCAGAACCGCGAGGGCACAGAGTGGCAAATTCATCCACCATTTTCTGCTTATACACCAAGTTTGATTCACAGACTCGTAGACCTAGATTGCCATTGGCGACGGCTTGCATGTTGCCATGAGCCTGCGGAGCCCTTGTGACGTTGAGCTGCCGCATCGTCTGGATCGACTTTGCAAGCCCGCGAACTTGGTCGTCGAGAGTCTTGGCCCGTGCAATGAAGGGAACGCTATCCTCGCACTCGTCACCAGTCAAGCAATACTCGCCCGTGCACGCCATTACGCCTGCAGTAGTATGACCTTGAGTGTGGAATAGGTTGATGGTGGCGTCGCCGCAGGTCAAAGCTTGCTCTTCTCCGACGCTGACCTGCGCTTGCTCTACTGCGTTGTTGTTCTTCTGGGCGACAAGTTGCGAACCGCGCAGGTTGTTCACGCTGTCAACTGCGGAGAGGCCCCCTGTATGGTCTTGATGCTCGTGGCTTGCGATGATTCTGATGTTGGACATGCCAGCGAGCCCGTTTTGTTGCAGCAGGCCAACGGCTTCCTGGAAAAAGGACCCCGACGACAGCGTGTCGAATAGAATTCCTTCATTCCGAGAACATTGAATCATGTACATTGTGTTGTTTAGTTCCGTGTTCGGGTCGAAATCGTTGGCGGCTACAACCACCCTCGTTTGACCCAAGGTATGGGGTATGTCCAACGCTTTGCTGCTTGCGCTGACACCAATCAAGGGAGGATTCGTGTTGGGAACCTCGTACGCCGTGAAGAACACCGGTATCGATTCTCCGTTGAGCTGTCGTCTCCTAATACTACACACGCGGCTCGTTACTACCCTCCAAACGGCTCTGGATTGGGGCCGTTACCTACGACGCGCTGGGGGGTAGGCAAGCAGCCGCCCAGCCAGCAAATACCCCCAATGACAGTAGATTTATTAGTTGCATGTTCAATAGAAGCAACTGGTAGTCGGCCGGGGTGACTTGGATGTAAATATGGTGGAACTGGTCGATGTGGTTGAATCGTTGAAGTAGTACACACGAACAGGACCCCAAACTTCAAATAGGATGTAATATACGAGACGGGGGAAACTACTCTCTTCATATTTTCTCGGTCATTTCTTGTCGCTATATAGAGTTGTATATCGGCAGTAACTCGTGCGACGTTCCCGCGACACAACTGAGACGTGGGTTAGCAGCCCCTAGTTCTGCCGGATGTTTCTCCCCCGGACTCAAGCATGCGGATTTACGTAGTATGCCTCACCCAAAAAGGCTAGTCAAGGCCCAAAATAGAAAGTATCTCGAATCAGCTTTGAGTTTACTAGATTCGAGTGATCATATAGAAAGTGCGAGCCGGTCTTGGGCTTCCAACGGATCGTGTCGCATATAAAACCTGTTACTATTATGCCTACCGGAGAGCGACCAGATAAAAAAGCCGATATTCACTTGTTCCTTGCAGGCGAAGTGCAAATTGACAGTTATGAGCCAATTATAAACACACTGCGAAAACTGCACAACGGCAAGACACGATGGCAATGTTAGATAGTAGGATGGATTAGTTGGGCGACTCTGAAAACAAAAAAAAAAAAGACTGCAATTGATGACGGAATTTGTAACCATCTCAATGCAGGCAGCCCTTCCCGAGCGCGCGTCGTATACAACAGGTATCAGTACTGCAGCGAGAGGTCTTTCGTCCAGATTCGGAATCCGAATCACAAGTTGATCATGCTCCCATCATCATACTACATCAGCGCTCCGCGATTCAAGTTTGGGAACCCCCATCGCCCATGACTCACGGCAACCCAACGTCCTGCTGCGCAGCCTCCAGAGAACCGGGTGGCCCCTTCACGGGCCTGTCATCCATGTTTCTGGCGTTCTGTGCGGGCGGAAACGCATACCTTCCTCTATCAACTCTCGTTCGCCACTGTGCTTGCTGAAACGCCGCTTCTACAAGTTTTACAAGCATCGTATCACTGCCCTTGGGGCCGAGAATGGCGCCGTATACAGGGTGGTATTCGGGCTGGCCACTGACCTTGGATTGGTATTCGAATTGGGCAACTTGGACTGTCAGCGATACGAGCAAACCTGATTCGAAGAGTACATACATGGTGCTAGAATCTGAGGGGCATGCAGCACAGAGGCGAGAAGGTCAGCTGTGAGGCCGTGAATCTTGCTAGGTTTCCTGGTCGAGTTTAGTACAGATGATGTGCGCCTCGGGACAAGGAAACGCACGGGACAACATAGCAGGGAGCATGGCTTGGATAAGCGGTGACAAGAATAGCGTCGCCGCCGTCATTGGTAGACATGACGGTGCTCTCGAACCATTTTCGGAAGACGAGAAGACGAGATTGGTATTCGTCGTACGCCTGTTTCGTAACGTTGCTGCCCCAGTCCCTGTGCGCCGTAAGCAACGAAGGGTATATTGTCATGTTGGAAAAAATTCGACAAACCATCTGTGTTTGACGGTTGGTTCTGTAGCAGCGTCTTTGCCAAACTTTGCTTTGTAGTCCTTTCGGAACTCGTCGTACTGGTGGTAAAACTCGTAGCAAAACGAGAGAAACGGGGCCTATGCGGAAAAAACCGTCTTGAGCTCATGGCATCTGGAAAGTGAGGAGCGAGAGAGACTTACGTCTTTCATGTATTCTTGTAGCCCTTGACCTTTGGCCTCTGCAGGTGCTTTCGAAGCCCAAGTCTGTGCTAAACTGAGTCTCTTTGACTTTACTCCCAGGAAAGCCTCCACTGCGGCCAGAAACTGTTCGTACTTGTCGTTCTTCTCTTCATCTGCGCCCGAGAGGTCTGTTGCGTAAATTATCGTTCTGGGGAAGGAAATTGCCGGGCTGGCTAGGGACTTGTGAACAATAGCCACGGCGTCGTGGAACAGTTCTGAGAGGTCTGTGCCGAAAATTCCCATGCTATCGTATTTGCTGCCAATTGGTAAGCGACTAAAATGGTTGAATTGCAGGTGTGCATGAATTTACGTGGAACTGGGTTGGATCCCGTCCAGAGGTAGCAACCCAGATGATGTTCGAAGCCCATATAGCCCTTCAGCGGCGGCTGGATCAAACACTTGCCCGACAGCTGCTGACTCGTCAACAATCTCATTTCGAGTGTCTCTTCGCGTGGTAATCAGACATACAGTCGATGCCAGTGGCTGCTCTAAGCCATTCGTAGCCCGCCAGGGAACTAGCCGCGCCAGTTGCACCTCCCGCGGGATCCTGATGCCCGTCTCCTCTCGGATTCTTTGGAGATGCCACATCTGTCCACTCTCTCCCGGAACCAAACTGCGAGGATTTGGTCTTGCCGACAATCGTAGCCCCGAGGTCTATGAGCCTCTTGGCGAATGCTGCAGTCGAGTCAGCCGTGTTGTTGTGCAGGTCGTTCCACGCGCTGCTGGAGAAGGTCGTCGGAATGCCCTTGAGGGACATGGAGTCTGGGATAGTGAAGCGGTAACCCTTAAGAGGAGCCTGCTCGGGAGGCACAGTGCTGTAGAGTTTTGAGGGAACCGGGATGGAAGTGTAGTTGGTTTCACGATCGGCGGGAAGCTGGAGCACTTGAAATCTATACCAGACTTAGTTCGTGAGGGTTCGGCGCAGTTAGGTAACGGGAGAGTGTATACGAATCTATCTCGTCAACGCGTTCGGGGTAGACACCGAAAGCAAAGGCATCTAGTGTATCGTTATATATCTTCCATGCCTGATGGACATTCGGCCCATGCAAGATATACGGCCCCGCAGGTAAATCAGACACGGAACGCTTCGCGGCAGCAAGGCTGTCGTTCCGCAAGCGCATCACCGACTTGCCATTGCCTATAGACGAAACTGCCACGCCGGAGTTTCCGCCCGGTTTCTCAATCAGAATGTTGCCAAACTCGGGGGTGAAGACGTCATCGTAAAAGTCAAAGAGTCGAAGGGTTCCCTCAAGGTGGTAGTACAGCTGCTCTGGTTCAAGCACGGTGACCGGGATGATGACATCTGGCTTGATTGTTTCCTGGATTGTGCCCTGCTTGCGCGTTAGTGCTGAAAAGATGATCTTGCGGCGAGATGTCTGTCAGGTTAAAGCAGTAGTCTTACGAGCACTTGCGGATGCACAAGGTACCGAGATCCTGAGATGACAGTCGTGAGCACCGTCTTGATCTCCATGGTAGTACGTGGGCGCGACGAACAGTCCACACCGCCACAACCGCCATCTATGTCCTCCGGAGGCATAGCCATCGTAGCGACTACCAGTAAATATACACCTTCAAGTATCGGAGGAAAAAAGACAGTCGACGCGGAATGCGCCGTTGTGTGCCGTCAATGTCAGCGGCAACATCAGACTTGTCGTGGGGTAAACCGCACTCGACGTTGCATCAGGAACCGCATTTGACCATGGCCCGGGCTACGAACAGCGGGGGACTAGCCAGCCACCAATGCAGGTGAAGACGACGAAGGCAAAGTCTGCCAAAGCATACCCCGTCGATGCAGCATGGTCTTCTCTTGCCATCCCGCCGCGGTTCAAACCCCGGGAGATAGACGACCTCGAGTCACCGTGAAACTCTCCTCCGCCACGCCAAGACTATCATGCGAGATCGGAAGATCATGAACCAACATATTACTTGGAATAATTCACACATGCAATGACATGTGTATGCTAGAAGTGATGCGTAGACATGTAACAAGTCAACTAATAAGATAATGCGACATAGCCTGACGAGGCTGTCGGGGCTCTCTGGAAGCAGGTTCTCCTCGAACTTTTTGGTGAACACGAATACAAGTACCCAAAGCTTCACCCTTGGGTCCCGATCTTATCAGGTAGGCCTAGAGAGGCGATGCTCCTCTTATGTCGAGGAGAAGAGCCAACTTCATGCGCAACAGCCCTGCTCGGGCTTGGGAGTTCGCCTTCAAACTGCGGGAATGTACCCATAGAAGAAATACACAAAGCCTTGTGTAACATATCAAGGCTTCTTTGTACGTAACAATAGCGGACCAGGCGCCGCAATTGTATGCAATGCTACACACAACACATCGATCAACATTGGGTCATCGGTTGCTTCAGCTCATGAGGCTTATCATTGAGAATTACTGGAAGAGATGACACATTGGCCACACGGGCGTGACTTTCCCCACTTCTAGTCTGCCTAGATTATCCTTGCCTATACATGTAAGTACTTCCCAGAGATGGGTGGTGTAATGAGCCGTCCTATAACGTAAGCTCTCACTGCAACACATCAAATATATGAAACCTGCAATGGATACTCATGAATTTCCTCCAATAATTCTTCCAAACTCATCTGAAAGTAGTATTCCCCGCAGCACATGGTGCAGGGTCCCTGGTCGTCTGGAGTATTTATTGGAGCGAAGCTAAGTTACAGCTTTGTAGGTCTTTCACCTTCAGGCCAAAATACAAAGCAGGGATTGATTTGAATTATTGTCACGCGACAAAATTATCCATTCATGAACAAATGTTTCTAAAAGCATCCTAGTTTACAACGCCAAGCCTCTAGAAAGAACTGCAGAGTCCGTCTACGGCATGCCGTGCGCCCGGCCGCTCGCTCACATGAGATCGAGAACAACTCGGCCTTGCAACTTGCCCTGTCGCATTTCTTCAAAGACTCTTGTCAGCTCGCTCATTTTCTCAACGCGTATCTCACTCCTGATGATGCCCCGAGCAGCAAAATCGAGCGTCTCGATTGCGTCTTGGCGATTCCCAACGGCTGAGCCGCAGACTGTGAATTGATTGGAAACCATGGCTCCGGGGTTGGCAGTGGCAATGGGAATCGCACCATGCTCCGGCAAACCAACGCACACCAAAGTACCGTTGAAACGCAAAAAGCCGAGAGCCTGGGCATAGGCTTCGTTGGAGGCCGTGCAGACGATGACGGCATGGGCGCCGAGGCCGCCGCATAACTTCTTGACATGTGCAGTGATTCCAGCGCCAGCAGCATCGTCCTTGGGGAACTGTGTAAAATCAACAAAGTGCTCGGCCCCAGAAGAACGAACCAGGTCTGCTTTGCTCGCATGGTCCACGCCGACGACACGCAAACCCATGCCCCGGCTGGCGAGCTGCACAGCAAGGTGACCCAAGCCGCCTCCAGCTCCCGTAATGACTACCCACTGACCAGATCTTGCCTGACTTCGCCGCAGAGCAGAGTAGACCGTTATGCCTCCGCAGAGCAGAGGAGCTGCCTGGGCCGAGTCAAGCTGCTCGGGAATAGGAGTCACATAGTGCGCTGGGCCCGTGACGTATTGTTGAAACGTTCCGGGCGTATAGTATCCCGAGATCTTTTGGTTAAAGCAGAGGCCGTCTGAACCGGCTTGGCATGGCTCTTGAAATTGTCAATCTAGTTAGCTGTGACGTGACAGCAAGGACTGAAAGGGGCCGACGCGAGACACGAACCACAGTGACCACATGCGCTGGATATCCATTTGACGCCGACCCTGTCTCCTATGGACAAGCCGGAGGTTTCGGCTCCCGGACCGAGCTTGACGATCTTGCCAACGCCTTCATGGCCACCGACTTGTCCTGCCGGCGTTGGAAGCGGTAATGCACTCCACTGTAGCGTCGTGACTGTTAGTCAAGACCAGATGGTAGTTGGATGGAAAAAGGTCAGCTGTCCAAAGGCTGGTACGTACCGAGTTTGTCATGACGCCCAAGTCTGAATGGCACACGCCGGAATGGCTCCTGGACAGAGAATGAGCATACTTGGTTGTTCGGAATGGCGTCATTCTTACAGTCGAACGAGCACCTCACCTGGACCAGGATCCGGCACTGCCAAGTCAACAACCTTGGTTGATATGGTGCCGGGCTCGTCGTACACCAGGGCCTTTTGAGTCGTGGGAACAGCCATTTTCAACAGTGATGGTTACAATGATGTCTATTGTTAAGTTTCAGATCAAGCTGCTTCGGCGATTGTAGGATCTACAGTCAAGTTATACGCAGCCAGCCAGTTAACCCCGCTAATCTTGCCGAGGTTAGTATGAGGCGCCAGTGTACAGTCCCTCCTGGTAATTCCGAAAAACGCCCCAGTGCCACTTTTTCACTGACGCTCATGAAGTTGATTTAAAAAAAAAAAAAAAAAAAAAAATCAGCCAGATGATCATGTAAAAAGACACCGTGAAACACTATATTTTAGCCGTACCTAGGCTAGGGAACCGCAACTAACCACGTAATACGCCCTGAACGCATCGTGATGCGTTAGACACTAGCAAAATTGGTGATTCATCGCCGCGCGCGCGGTCGAAGGCTATCTCGCGATAGCCTTAGCCACGACGTGAAAGTAAACTTTGCACATCTGGGCACGTCGATTTGAGGTTGTTGTCTTTTGTGGCCGGTACAAGACACCCGTACCCGCCGATTACTTCGAGCGTTCGAGTCTACTAAAACAAAACGACGATCAGCACGGCTGACCCAGATCAACAGGAAGATCCCGGCACTGTCCTAGTTGCAAGCAACGGCCCTGTGAATGCACCAGTGCCACAGGAAGCATTGCCTGATGACAGAGCCAAGATCTTGGAGTACCACGAGGACATCAGGTATACACATTACTCTGATATACAACAATAAACTTCGGAAAACTAATGATTTTGCACTCTTCACAATAACTCAACAAGCACCCCTTTGGTACCACCAGTGGCCTTGATCCCTAGGACCCTGCTCAACACCATGTCGCCGCAAAGCCGTGATAGCAGCTTCGGGCCACTCTCTATGAATAGCTGCTAGCCCTTCTCTTTCTCCCGAGAAAACAAGCAGAGACTGTGGTTCACTGTAGACCTCATTCCTCTGGACGCAGTCCGCCACCAACTGCCCCGACCGGTATGCCACGACCAGGAATCTAGTAAAGTTGAGAATATTGGTCAAGGATTACCCACATCATTGGACAGCGGTCGTCGTTACAGTCATCTCTAATAGGGTTAGGGAGCACGCTCCAGAAAACGAAAGAGGACTAGCTCCAGAAGTCAAATAGCTCTAATTAACCCGCCTAGGAGGAGCACGTCCAGGGAAAACTTGTGTTAAAGGACATTAAGGTTACTTTTATATACCCATGCATACTGCTCAGACTTGTAGATCTGGTGGATAGAAGCTGCTGGTCTTGTAGAGGATTTAAATACGATAACATGTTTAACTAGACTAAGAGGCTCTATAAGATGTATAGTCTGGCCAGCTTACTTGGCACCTTCTACGCCGATATCACTAGAGTAGCAAGAGTTTGGTACGTGGTCGACGCGGCAGTCAACAAGGAAGACCTACGAAGGGTCGTCGATAGAGCTACCCCGCCATGGCGGCGGCGGCGAAGACCAAGAGAAAGTCTGCCATCTGATAAACTTAGCCGGTCCACCATGTCAGATATAGCGAAAGAAAAGCTACATCTCATTGTTGATGAACTGCTCTAAAGGGTTTATGTTGTAGACGACGCCTATAGTGGTGTGGATAGTGTGGAAGTGTGGACACTGCTCATATAGTAGTAAAAGCAGGTTAATAGGGGTGTGTGCATAAAAGCTACATAACTCTCTTTTGAAGTCTACGTAATCCTTACAAGTATAAGAGGTATACAGTTATATTATTCTTGCTAGAAGGCTTAGCATTACTTATAGAGAAGCTCAGGCATGCCTAGGTTTACGTGGGGAGCTACCTAGGGTGGCCTACTAAGGCTCTAAAGCTGCTCATGTTCAAGCCGCTACAGCTCAGGAACTCTTTCGGGAAAGGAAACTGGGTCTTTCTAGATCAATATTTCGGTGTAAGCTAGGAGACCATCGGTGTTTCCAGTTGGATATTGAGGTTTTCGAGGTGGATTGATGGCTAGACCGACGCCCGCAAGGAGCTGCAAAACGCCGACCAACTTTCTAACACTGATGCCACCCATGATGAGCTTATGATACAAAGGGCTTGGGAGTCTGGGAGCCTCGAGAGTCCAACCAGACCTTGCTCGGTAGCAGTTCTGCTGGATGAACAATCGTCACGACTGAGAACACTAGTAGGGATGAGGAGAGACTGGCGTACACGAACTCTTGTTTATTGGATTTTTCTATTCCATCCTTTTGCCTGTGAGTCTTATCTGCATGTTGGAGGGAAACAGGCAATCTTGTGCCCCGGCGAGGTAGGCACGGCGAGCAGTTTCGTAATTCGAAATTGTTTGACTTGGCAGAGGCGGGACTTTCCGAAATTGGCAAGAGATTACGCTAATAATCAGGGATTTGTCAGACATGGGGAGTGGTTGTGAATATTTTCCCAAGTTTGTCACAGATTGTCAAGCCGCGCCCTTGTTTCAATGGCCATGTTTCATAGTCATGATTGATCCGAGTCTACTGAGCACGTCATGGTATTCTTGGGCAGCGGTTGAAACCGAAGCAAGTTCCTTTTCACTGATAACTACTGAGTCGACTGTGGATAGGGGAGTTGACGTCCCAGCAGACTGTCAGTTTCGCATGATGAGATTGTAACTCTCCCATCAAATAGAGCATAATCTGAACAAAAACAGCGCTCCGGCTTCCGAGGACCTCTATGACAAAGCTCTTCAACATATTCTTCGTACAAACATGAGCGATGAAATGCAAATTCGGGTGTCAAATCACCCTCAGTGCTTCAGAGATCCCTGTCCTGCCAAGTTGCCAAGGCACTCCGATCTCACGAGCTTGGGGCTTTCCTTCTCTCTAGCGGTTCGAAAATTGACGCGTCAAGCACCAAGACGGTAGAAGGTCCCAGTGCAATTTCCTTTGTCTAACTGCCTTCAACACTCCATGAATGAGACGCTGTTCAGCGTACACATTACCATGCTGTCTGACTTCCATCTTCCAAGGTTGATCTCCTCGGCTTTGCCATTGGTTGATTGCACAAACGTGCAAGTAAAGATACTACATCATAACACCGACCTACCCGTTCCGTAGTGTCTTCTAGCACTAGCCCTTGTGTGTGTGCAATGTGCCACTCTGAAGCGTGATGCCTTGCAGAGCAGCAACGTGGCCCGAGTTTCCGGCCTACCGACACGCGGGCCATCTACCGAGAATGTGTTGTAAACGTCTCATCCGATGTTTTCTTCATCTTCATGTGGGGAGATGACTGACAATACTCTGCTCGTCGTGTCGTAGCCACAGCCAGTCTCGGACAATTGTCTCCTATTTGTTTTGGCCTCATCTCCCCATCACTCCAAGTAATTTATAAACAAAAGATACAACACATGCTGGTAGTTGCGTGTGAAAGCCGTGTAGTCTTAGTCTCAACAACAGTCAGCATTCTCAATACCATTATCACCCTGTGAGACTCATTGTTACTTAAACTTCCCATTCCCTTTACCATTACAGCAAACTGAAAGTAGGGGAGGTTTAGTCAAGTGACAAGTACGAGAGTATTCCTCGGGAGCGTGGATGACATTGTTGGTAAGCTGGTTGCGAAGCATCATTCACCGCCGTCCAGTCTGAGGATCCCAGAATAGTTCGGCCCCAATGTCTCGGTGCCATTGTAAAACTTGAATACCTCTGCATTTGCATTACTATATAGGGAAACCTGGTCACACCAGGAGAAAACCTATACGAGGCATGACCACTCTTCTTGCTCAAAGCCACTCATCACGCCACTCCTCATTCCACTCCTCATTCCACTCGTCATCTCTGTTGATCCCGGAGCAATACACAGACCCAATCTCATCACCAATGCCTATGACATGCAAGTCGGGAATAGTTTGCCGAATTCCTGCGTAAAGCACTGGGGGCAAGCACACGCGGTTTCTAAGAACACATGTCAGCTATAGCCCCAAGAGAGTTATTACATAGCTACGTCGTCACTTACCTGAAAACGGCACAGCTTACTCCGTGTCGGGCGACTCTTACAGAGGAAACTTTCTGGTTTCTTTTTCTATAGTTAGCCATCTGATTGCCGGTTTATTGAGAGTGTATTTGCTCACATTGTCTGTGGAAGAGGCCAGCAGCGGTTCAATGAAGGCACCGTAAAATGGTGTCCGCGAAAGTTGATGTGTTCATAGAATGTAACCTAGATATAACTAAAATTAATATTACATATCATTTAGGTGGAGTTTATTTACTTACCCCAGTATCTTCTGCAGCCTCGAGTGGGAATGCAGAGACAATCGTCGCCATTAGGGCGGTAAGCAGAGCCCAAAAATGCATGGTGAGGGATGTTTGTTGCTAAGATTTTTTTTGAGAGTTAGTGGCGAGTTGTTTGATGAGAAAATTACAATCTATTACCGGGGGACAGAGCCTGTATTTATATACTTCTATGTATGTAATGGTAAGTGTTTGTCTTGTTATTCTCTTCTCCTAATTTCGTTCCAATACACTGTTGACTGGAGCACCCACTAGGTGCAACTCGGCCCGGATGTCCGAGAAACTCAGCGCCAGAAGTTTAATACTTGTGCCGCGCACCACTTTTTAAGGCTCGAATTCGCACCCACCCAGAAAAGTACTTTCCACTGAGACAGGCACATAAATTCATCAGCTGGTACCGTGGAAGTCTGTGTAACCGAGATAGTGTGTTTGGATCGGTGACAACAAGAGGGCGTCCTAAAGCTTCAAGATTTACATGAGTACTAAGCCGTTTCAAGGGGCACGGCCAGCCACGGTTTCGAAAGACTATCAGTGGTTCTACAAACGAGGTATACGTTTTCTAATCTTTCTAAACCTTTTTTTTTTTCTAATGAGTAACAGGCTTCACAGACAAAGACACCGAAAGAAATGACTACGGCAGACCCAAAATACCTTTCCGTCAAGACTACTTTATGATGAAATCAAGATGGGAGATATCTGAGCCTCCATTCCAAGCAGCACCTTTTCTAACGGAAATGTCTACACTGCTTCTACCAAGTGGATATATTGACATCTCTTGGCTTAGAAATACTCGTAGCAATAGCACACCGAGCAACCATTCTGCCCTGGTTTCAGCGGCATGTGCAGCCTGTGACCAGGACCAAGTCATAATACCACCGCGTCTTGTTGGTTGGTGTTGTTGACTGGAGCGCATGATTGACCCTACTACCCGGTGTACTTCTCATGTCCAAATCCCCAGTGCAGCCACGCGTCGGAGTATTTCTCTGGCGGTGTACTTGGCATTTAAGAACCAAAGCATCAGCCCTTGGATCTTAAGCATTCATCCTCGTGCCGTGTCCAAGTAATAGTGGAAATGTGGTATGCCACTCTGCTCAAAGGTCAAACTGAACCGTGTCTCACATATCGCAATAGAGTTGGACGACGAAGTCAACCATGGCGCTATGTTTTCATTGGCAGTGAACGTCTGCATCGCAAGAGCCTGACGACATGAATTATACGTACCTATTCCACTTTATGCGGGGAAACGCAAATAAACCGCAATTTGACTTTGACAGCACTGCGGGCTCTTATATTTATATACTTTCAAGTTTCCGTTGGACGGCTCAGTCATTACCCAATCAGTTTCTTTATGATGGGCGGCAGATTTGCAGCCACTTCGAGAAAAGGTTGGGAATGGAAACGCCACTCTGACCATGTGGTTCTGCGGGCGTTTTGAACGCTGACTAGCCCTGCGTTATACTGGTGGCTCTACCAAGGGCCGACAAAGTGGCAGTTTTTAAACTCCATCTAGAACTATCATCGGATCTGTCACATAACAAAGAACTTTGATGGCACAACCTTTGCGAATGCACCAGAAAGCCAATCGCCAGTCCCCCGAGGAGGCTATCGCGCCAGCCAGTCGCCTTTAATGCCATAAGGAAAAAGCATCCAGTTGCCAAGGCTTACCAAAGTCAATTCCCCGCCCAAGCCGGGATTTTATAAATCTCATTGCCGTTGAAGGAAGGCAAGTTTTGTGACAAAGAGGACTGTCTCATGGTCTGCGTCCAGCGTGCTAAGCGGACTTGGTCTAATAACGTATGAACTAGATTAACTATTCCGTCTCAACCTCTACTCTACGCGTATGAACCTAGGCTATTACGAATTCCCGCGGAAACAAGAACAGAGAATGGGTTGCGTTGCCACCAGCCGCTGTCCTTTGTCAGCTTTTGAGTCTTGTATCTGGAGATGGTAGATGTTTGCTGGCCAAGGCAATTAGCCAGCCAGTTGGTGTGGTTACCGGAAGTCTTGTGCAAACACTGCCGATTCGTTAAGCCACGCATGCATGTGCTACTGTCTACGTAAGAAATCCCATCACTGAAGGCGGCGCAGTCATGTACCCACTGATACTCATTCGTTTGATGCTATCCTGTCTCGGATTCCCATACACGATGTGTGACCACGAGTAGTGTAAAAATGCATTGACGACTCTTTATATTCCGTTGACATAAAGTCACAGCTTCGAGGAACCGGCTGTGGCAGTATTTCGACTAGCCAAGTAAGAAGTTGGAGTGATCAACGAGACTGCTCCTGGATGTCAGCTTGATAGTAGAGGCATCACGTTGCCAAGCACTGGCTGCTTACGCCCAGGGTGCACACATACCAGGCGTCCGACTTTATGATGAACTGCAGCTAAAGAGTTCCCAAAATAGCTCATAGCAAGCTAGATCAAACCAACAGAAGTATCCAATTGTACGTGTTTCCCCACATGACCAAGTCAAAGACAAGGGAATCAGGTTCAATCTTGAGGCTTGGCATGGCCGTCACGCGTGCCTGTGTCCGCCGCTTATGTTTCCGCAACTTTAAACAAGGTTGCTGGGGATGTGCAGGGAATAGCAGTGGGGATTACTGCTCTCTTGAGAAGGATATGCGCGTTTTGCTCATTAGGTCTTATGCCAGCATGTTCGTTAGGCTTGCGGCTGAGGCGGCTGAACTACGTTGCTGTTCCCAGATGAACCAATCGTTCTATAAGATAACCTGTGAAGAACATGGCCCGTTGGCATGATTTTTACAGGATTGTATTATTCAGCCAATTACGGCATCTATTTTTAGGTTTCAATGTAATATGCTTGCTGAAAGGCGCGTACTTAAAGCGACCCAAGAGGTCGTCAACTCCATAACTCCCTCCTCTTCAATCTTCACCACCCTGAAAGAGAAACAAGAGCCACCTCGAGCTTCTGAAGCAACTTGCATATATGTTGGCCTGAAACAAAAAAAAATCCCAGAATGAAGGTCTCTGGTCTTTTCGCCGTTTTCGCTACCGCTCTAGCCGTCAGTGCGACAGCCGTGTCGGATGCCACGCTCGACGAGCGAGCCACTGTCAAATTCAACGCCGCCGAGGCCGCTGCCCTGAGGGCCCAAACACAAAGTACGATCGAGCAGCTGCGAAACCTTCAGAGAAGCTATGACAGCCGGGTCAGATCCACCGTCGACGGCTGGAGCGGTTCCGCCCGAGCGGCGATCCAGCAGGATGTGCAGTCGTTCGATGCGGCGATTGCCAAGGCAAACCAGGAACTTGGGCAGATTGTTGCTACCCTGAACAGGCTGCTCTAGACTTGGAACCATGATAAATGGATAGATTACAAGCTACATGGAGGGGACAGTGGAGGCGATAAATTGACTGCGTTGGAGCTGGGCGTGAATTTGTGGCAGTCATACAACCTACATAGGTGGCTCTAGGGTTTGGATGAGCGCTCTAGTGTATACGGCTACTATCAATTCAATTATGTACTCATTCCCCTTGTAATGATTCTAATGAACCTCCATGTCCATCCCTCCGATGAAATTGCCCCCATGTTCGCCGATGTCGCTGAGTGGCATGGGGAGTTCAAACCGGAAATTCTGCCAATGCTGTACTCTGTCTTACGGGGTATGTCCGTACGACAAAGAGACGAAATCGCGAAAACTCCGACATTGTCTTTGTTTCGTGCAAGTCGCATGCCCCAGATCCGCCACAATCACACATATCACGCTCAATGACTTTGGTTTGTCACCAGAAACTAATAGTGCAACGCGAGAACTGATCTCCTCGACGCCATGGAGCGCCGGTTTCGCGGCCAAGTGCCAACAGTTGCACATCAATATCGGCAACCGCGTTCGTCCGTGGGGGTCGCTTGATTGCCGGTGGGGGGCAGACCAAAGGCCGCGCCTTCCTTGACTGACCCTGATTCACAGCACATGACAGTATATGGCGTTGCGTCTCTCAATCTTTCGCAGATATCCTTCATTTTATGTGCATCGAGTTCGACCGCGACCACGTCTCTGTTTAAACGTTTCTCACCATGGCAGAGCCGTACAATACGCCCGTACCGGGCTCGACACCCCGCTCGGGATCGCCTGTCCCCCATCCGCTTCGCCACCCGACGCTGCTCAGCACAGCAGCAACCTCCACACCCAAACCACGGGTCCTGCATCTCGGCGACCCTATTCGCTTCAATCCAGATACATATGACATCTTATCATCGCAGTATGAAGTCGTTCGACCGTCAGCGGCAGAACGCGAGCGAGCACCGTTTATCCAGAGTCTGAAAGAAGGAAAATGGGGTAGCTTCCAGGCCATCTTTCGGCCGTTTTGGCGGACAGGCGGTGAGATGGGCCAGTGGGACGGGGAGTTGATCGCCTTGCTGCCGGAGAGCGTGAAGGTGTTTTCGAGCGCGGGCACGGGATATGACTGGGTTGACACCAAGCTGTTGGGCGAACGAGGCGAGTGGCATCTGGACACACACGAGGAGGAGCGTTGCTGACCCTTGGCAGGCATTGTCTACTGCAATGGAGGAACGGCCTCGGCCGACGCAGTGGCCGACTTGGCCGTCGCCATGATCATCTCCACATTCCGCTATATACCCTGGTGCATCACGGCCGCGACGGCCGCTTCGCCGTCCGCATTCGCAGACTGCCACCTCAACTCACCCGCTCAATGCCATAACCTGCGAGGCCGCATTCTTGGCATCGTCGGCCTAGGAAATATCGGCCAACGCATAGCTACGAGATGCCACCTCGGATTCGCCATGGAGATTCACTACTTTGACATTGAGCGCAAGTCTGCCACGGTTGAGGGCGCCGTCTCCGTCAGGTTCCACGAGTCGCTGGAGTCGTTGCTCGAAACTGCCGATTGTGTCATATTGTGCACACCTGTTGGATTCGGTGGCGAAACAACGATTAATTCGTCCACGTTGAAGCATTTCCGCCAAGGTGGGAGATTTGTAAATGTCTCAAGAGGCGCGTTAGTCAATGAAGATGACCTGGTGGCAGCGCTGGAGTCGCAGCGGCTCAGTTCTGTAGCGTTGGACGTGCATGCCAATGAACCACATGTCCACGAGGGACTGAGGAAGTTTGCCGCAGAGGGGAGAGCCATGCTGACTTGCCACAATGGCGGTGGAACGGTCGAGACGCATGCCGCATTCGAGGAGTTGAGTATGCGCAACGTCCTGGCGGTCTTGGGTGGCGGCCCAGCCTTCTCTGCTGTCAATCTGGGCGACTTGAAGAGATGAATCAAACCACTGCTATACATAAAGTACAACATGGTACATTGCCAGTATATAATACAACCCGTCCCAACGCCTCGCAAACCCATAACGTGCATCATGGTCAAAAGCCCAGTCCTCAAATCAATCAGTCTCCAGCCTTGGGCTTCTTCCTCACCAACCCAGACGTCAAGACATTAACTTGAGGCGTATCCTCCTCCTCCTTGGCTTTTTTCTTTACGAGCCCTGCACCAAGAACATTCACTGCTCCCCCATCCGTCGTGTCTGCCCTCTTTCTCTTGACTAGCCCCGATAAATCCCTTGCCTCACCCTCACCGTCCGCTGCGGAACGAGTTGGCGTTTCCTGCGCGCCCACCACTATCTGTCCCCAGTCGCTACCGAAACCAACCTCACTCGTCCAACGCCGAGAGCTGGCGACTGCCTTGTCCACGTTTGAAAAGTCCAAATGCAGCATCAGCTCCACGGCGCGCTTGTACGCCGTTTCACTGATGATGCGGGATCCCCGGCCTTGCACGGGCCAGTAGTAATACGGGCTTAGAATCGGCGTCTTGAGCAGGTAGTTTCGTTGTTCGGTCTTGGCTCGTGGCTGGCGGGGTTTGATGGGTCCTTTCAACTTGGACTTTTTCCGTTGTGATTTGCTTCTCGCATACTTTTCAAATTTGTTCGTCTTGGGAGGGAAAAGTCTGCCGGTAGTGGCGGCCGGCGCCCGAGACACTGCTGATGAGATCTCGCCCTGTACAGCCTCGGCGGGCGTTTGGTTGTCAAAGACGACCCAGATGAAGCCCGTCATCCTACCGCTCGAGCATTCCTGTCTAAAGGCCATCATGTCCCAAAACACGTCCAGCGTCTTGACGGTCTTCCAGCTGCCGGCGACTTTCATGGCCCCGGACTGGCCCGCCTCTTCGTCCAGTTCGTCGCGGAAGCGGGACTTGGGGTCGTCAGGAAACCGGGGGATGAGGCATCGCGGCGGCACCCAGTCGTACTCTCGAGTGTAACGAGATATTCGTTCGAGGGGGTGTGTGAGGGACCACGACGATGCAGCCGCTGCGGTGCGGGGGACAAAGGCCCGTGTCTCGTGGGCGTCCAGGCCGGGAATGATCAGGTAGCCCTTTGCATTCTTCCACGTCGTGCCTTTGTCGGGCGGGGATGTGACGAGGGGATCGAGCACGCGGCACCACCACCTCACCAGGGCGCGGTCATCGAGTACGTGTTTCGCCCCGTGGTCGATGCTCCCTGGGAAGAGATATTGGCCCTGCGATCTGGCGAACAGGCTGACGATCAAGGGAATGCCTTGGCGTCTCCGCGCAGCCACGAGGTGCTCAATGAATGTCGCGCACACTCCACGGATGGGACTCGGTGTTCCCTTTGGCAGGTTCAACAAGGGCAAGTAGCCGGTTGAATCGGCTTTGGAAACAAACAGCGTCGTTGAATGGGCAGTCGTGTAGATGAAGATTTCGATGCCCAGCACAATGACCTTTTTGTTGGGCTCTGCACCGTTTTGTGACGGCTCACCACTCCCCGGGATGTCGATTGACAGGGTGAGGAAGTGGTTCTCGCAGTAGGTTCGATCGGGTCGTCGGTTGGGCGGTGCAGAGTAGATGGCATCCGTCTGCCAAGGGGGTGTTGAGACGTGGTGGACAACGAAGGGGATGTCCTTGGGCAGCACGGAGCGTAGACGGTCTATTAGGCTGGTGTCGCAGCCGATTGGCTCTGTTGGAGTCGTCATGTTTGGAAGCCGCAATGGACTGGCGGTGGGAGCAAGAATTGGCTGGTTGATGGCTGGGTTAGGGGACGCGGAGCGCGTTTGGATGTGACGAAAGTCTCGAGGTGGAGACATCAAATCCTGGGGCTAGTACTTTCATGTTCAATGTTGCCCTTCGGGGCCGTTTAGCGGGGCACAGCTCCAGGAGCTGGACCCGTCAATTGACCGTTGTATGGACGGCTGGTTCTAGAATGCGGGGGGGTTTGGCTGTATGTGGCTGGTCACATTGGTGTCAAGTTCTAGGGTTAGGGTAGATACTCAACTGGCACCAGATCCGAAAATTACTTGCCGTACACCGTCGTGTGCCAATACATGTCCGAGCGCCTTTGCACAGAGTTGTGCTTTGTAATCTCCTCATGACCATAGGGGATCAACAGGGTCGAATCGGGACCCGAACGCGTGAGTTGGGTGCCATTAAGGGATTATGACCAGAAAACGTGGGCCCCATAAAGGTGGTTGGAACCTAAAGTCGACGGTCTGTAATGAAGGTAACTAACGGTATCCAACTACGCCAGAGGTGTGCGTAGTCGGGATCAACGGTATTGGAAGCTGGTCAAAACGTAATACACGGATGTGATGGTGTATATTCTCAACACCTGTGCTCACTCGAACATTGACTTAACTTCTTAGTTGTTGCACGGTCACGTTGTGTCCCCTCATGTATCTACGGGCATAATACGCTAATTAAAAGCCGTAAAATAAAAGGTACGTTATTCCACACTTAAATCTTATTATATTAAAGGTTATAATAAGCATTTAACTTATAGAAAACTACATTATATATAGCTAAATTTAAGCTACTATTAATATCGTTCTAGGTTACTAACTATAGCCGGGTTATTGTGGGTCCGCGACCTTCTTGGAGCCTTCGCACACCAGAGGGGATTGAAGACACGAGCCGAGCCTTGAACCTGACGGTCTGGTAATTACACAAGGGCTTGAGACCTAGTTGGGACCTCAGGCTTCCAGGCTCGCTTGATTACCGCTACTTTCTATAAGTAAGGGGCATTTGCCTCTAAAGGCCTAGAGAGAACCAAGGACCTCTAATATCAAGGCGAATTGTTAGCTGAATTGAATATTGTTCAAGCCCTTTACATAAAGCCCTTGTCACACTAGTGTCGTCACTTACGAATACAGGGAGAATAAGCAAATCGTCTAGCCATATTACAACACCTTTCATCTGCCGACTTCTCAATTGCAATACAATGACCACTTTTTGCATGCAGTCTTGCTACTACAAAAGTCCCAACAATGATCGTTCTCCTATCCTCGAAAAGGTCAACACAAACGGATGGAGGAGGGCGCTCCATCCTTGACACAGACGTGTTCGATGCTGAAAGCTGTTGCATTTACTGTTATGGTGGTTCTTGACGTTTACAAGGCCGTTTTGTCCAAGACAAGTTAACCGCAAATTGTCAAAGCTCTAACTAGGAGCATTTGATGAATCACGAGATACTTTGATTAAACCAGGGAACACATCGCCAATCTTCGGCAAAATTGTCTCTTCCCAGCTTGATGGCACATGTTCCCATTCAAGAACTCAAGTCACTATTGCGAATCACTTCAAGGGAAAAGAAAAGGACTAGATCATGATCTTGGTAGGCTAAAAGCCTCAGAATTGTTGAATCCCCTAGTAAACTCATACAAAAACTTCTTGGATTCCGTGAATGATGTTGAAGCAAGTGAAGATTCACTATATTCTCCAACTCAACATATAGCATCAAAGCCTCTCCTTGCTCAATATGGAAGCGTGAACAGTCCTTGAGCGCTTCACTACATTCCAAGCCCAAGGTTTTGTCCCACCAAACCATATCAGCGGTTCCCGTCTCTTGCCAGGGATATTTGACCCAACCTACCAGGAGGGCCACCTGCTACAAAGCAAAAGATCAAAAACGGATCGTGGTTTTCGATACCAATCGTCGGCTTCGAGTGCGGTTACCTCTACACTTCCAATGTTGTCCTTTTCTATCTTGTCTAATAACTTGTCAATCCACTCCACTTGCATCTCAACAAAGGGTGGCGCCGTTGTCAGTGAAGTTGGTGCTTGCGGCCGTACAAAATGAAGGCGTTGGGCATGCCGGGGACCATCATGCCAAGGCTTGTGCGAACACCATTTTCCCACTTCTCTTGTAGTGTCTTGCCATGCGTGTCGGTAATATTCATGTCGTATAAGCTCCCGGTAAGAGAATCGTACCCCGTAGCCATTATGACCACATCAAGCTCGTGCAAGTTTTCGTTTTCACCGTCTTCGAGACCCGTAGTCAATATGTCATTGGTAGTGAGCCCTTTGATTGGGGTTTTTAGAAGGTTGACGACGGTGACAATCGATCCGTCAATGAGCTCGTAGTAGTTCTTCGTCAGCCATCTCTTTGTGCCCGGAGGCTGCACCATCTGCACAGGGGCCAATGTATTCTTCTTGGTTTCATGCAAAATTCTGATCCGAGTCTTCTCCGCCCAAAAGTCATAGAACGCCTTGTTAGCCCCCTCGTCTGTCGTCACATCAATGTAGTTGCATGCAAGGATCCCTATGGCCAAAGTAGCTGCTTAAATCGGCCCCCGCCGTATAAACGTCGTCAAAAGAAATGTCTAGGGTAAGTTCCGGACTCGTAAGCTGGTAGTACGGTACTCGGAGTCGACTCACTTCGGGGACCGATTTAAATTCCAAACCCCACCGAAATCACTTTGGGTCTCGATGATCTTGGCAGATAAACCCCGGATTCTCATGTGGTGCAAAGACAGGCAGCCCGAAACCCCGGCACCGACACTCAATGTGGAAATGCGCTGTGACTGTATGTAAAAGCATGCCTAGCACGGATATAATCTCCCTGAACGTTCTTTCCCTTCCATCTACTTAAATCCCGACGGGACAGACAAACTCCGCGTTTTCAGTTATCGTACCTGAGCCTGATCACCTGGTGCAGTCGGTGTGTAGTACCTTGTCATACGAGTCAACCAATATAATCATGTATGAAGCGACAGACCAATGCGTAGCAACTCTCTCTCGCATTAGCGTGTCGGCCTGCATAAGTAACATATTTGGCACCATGCTAATTGCGTGACTATCTTATTCACCGTCCGCATCCGGCTAACCCGCCCGTTCCCACGGCGTGTCATTTCCGGAGTTCATATTACCATGGAATTTCCGTGCCGGGCGGACTTATTAGGAAGGTAACACCAAGCCAGATGATGGCTAAGAGTATCGACTACATCACCGTGGCCTGATAATCCAAGGCGAGATATTCTTCCACATGACTCGTCCTCTGTCAATTATTCAACTCGCTTATGCTGCCATGGCGTTATAGTGACCCGGCTTTATATTCGGGCTAGATGTACTCTCTGAAATCTGCAAACGACATATCTTCAGCACGTGTTCTAACGGCGGGTTTTCCTGGATATTTCGCCTTTGTGAGTCTGACTTCAAAGTCCTCCTGTGTTGACAGTGACAGCGTGAATTGCGAACTTTGATAAATCAGTTAGTACTTTGTTGTGGGGATCAAGGCGTGCACAAAAAATGTCTTGTCCCAGGTGCTGATACTTTGTCATGGCTTGGTACACTGTTTAATTATAAACCGAAGACGTGTCCCGAATCTTATTTAAGCTACTTCCACACTAATAGAAATGCGTGAGGACAGCTAGCCTTGAGCCTAATCTCACACGGCAAGTTGAAATAAATTTCTGGTTCTCAGTGTAATCGTGTACTCGGTAGTCGACGACGAAACTCAGCGGAAGGGTCAACCATTGCTGATATGTCTCTGGAGGGATCGAATTGTACTACTTGTATGATAAAAAAAAAGAATTCCATGAGCAGTGGTCCAGCGGTTTAGACCTTTTTTTGAACCGTGAAACTTACGATGCTGGTAATTAGCATCATCCCATACGCATGGCGGAGCTTGCTGATCGCTCGTTTTAGTAGTTATATCTATTGAGCCGGGAACGGGCCTAGTCAATGCACTCTGTATTCTTTGAATAGAATGCAGAAGCCGGCATTGCTGGCAGGGCAGGGCACGACGCTGCCACTCTGGTCAATGGCGCCCAACGTGTCCCAATGTCGCAACCAATTTGAAAGTAGAGACGAAGACCAATAAAAGACCAAAGGGCTGTTTCCCCTGTTCCCTTCTTGACAAGGCGGAATGCGAGGCGGGAAACCTGGCCCGACGGGCCAAGGAACTGGGGGATGACCTGGAATGCCATGGATCGAACGAACCCTGGCGCACCCACGTAGAAGTCACCAGGGTTAAACAATGCTTCTTGCCGTGGGACATCGTGAAAATTAAGCTGTTGCAGCCGATGGTATTCCTCGATGATGATGCAGAGCGATCACGGCGAAGGCTCGCGTCTATTGGGCGCGTTCCTCGGCCCGCATTCTTTCTAGGCTGTCGGCTCTGACCATGGCCTCGAGCTCCTTCTTGGTATTCAGGCACAGCCTGACTTGTGCCCATCTGACAACAGCCGGGTCGCGAATATCAAGCTGGTGACATATCCTCGGCGTTCCAACAAGCCGTTAATACTTGAATCTCATGACGGTGGCAAGCCGACATACAAATAGCTTCTCAAGCCACCAACGCTCAAGTGAAAATGATTGGCTTTGAAAATACAATGGCAAGGAGACATAGAACTATGCTTCCTTCACCCCTTTTTTGCATTGATTTTTTTTTTTTTTTTTTTTTTTTTTTTTTTTTTTTTTTTTTTTTTTTTTTTTTTTTTTTTTTTGCCGTCGAGCGGCCCTGTGGTTGGAATCGCCTCGGTTGAAGTTATGTCAAGGTCTTTCAACAATGTGGTCTAATGCTTTACAATGTCACTAGCCCACAGTTGAAAAAATGTAGAAAAAAAGCCAACCGCAACACTGCTACACGGTAGTTATGATTGGTTGACGTGTTTGTCAACATCCGTACTTTCGCTGCGCTAGTCTTCAAGTGTATGTTGCATTAGAAACTCGTTTTCAATGAGATCTTGAGCCGAAGGTCTTTCTTCGGGGAGCCAACACAGTATTGTTCGAATAAGACAAAGTAGCTGCTCCTTGTCTTTGCCTTCTAGCCGACATTCACGGCTCTCGAAAGATTGAAGTGGAATCGGAGTTGACGCAATCCAATTGCCTGATCATGTTAGCCATTCTCAAGTATGAAAATTTTATTTCCGGTGCAAAATTTACCTTCAGCATCCCAGTACTGCTGGCATTTTTCACTCTTTTCTAAAAAGCATTGTGGCGGTGGTCCCATTAGAGATACCATTTCAGCCAAGTGCTGCTCATCATTAAGGACGCCATCTTTCATAGCATGGAATAAACGACCACCTTCGAAGAGGTCCCATATCTATATTTATTAGAACGCAGGATGAAGAGAGACGTCGGAATACACACCATTACTCCAATCGACCATATATCTATCTTTGAGCCCCATTCCATTCCCATGATTACCTCTGGCGCTCGGTAGACACCTGGCATTACATCGCCAAAGTGAGTCTCCCCTATCCTCGCCGCACCAAAGTCGCACAGGGTTGGTAGGCCAGCGGTAATTGGCATAGGTTGTGAAACGTAAATTGTGCGATCTGAAAGAGCCTTTCGGGCGGAAGGGTGTTCTAGCTCGGTTTGCTCAATTTTTTGAAAAATAGATGCATCCGGACTTCCTAGGAGAATATTATTCGGTGATATGTCTATTGTGATTAAGACTGTAAGTGCCCAGAAAACTAGCTGTCTGGCGGAAGACAAACCTGTATGAACCACGTTTGCCTGATGCAAGAAATCTAGACCTAAGAGAACCAATTGTAAGGTTTGCTGTAGTAAGTCCTTATTGAGGGCTTTATTTGAAAACTTGTTCCGAAACTTGGTAAAAGTTAAGCCGAGCGGGCTAAAGACGAAGCATTGGTGCATACCGTGAGGACCGGCCACTTGGAAGTCGTCTAGCGTTAGGCGAAGTATTCCTCTACCCGGATGTTCTCCCTCAACTGATCTAAGATGCCGGGAGACGGCTAATTCATTGTTCACGTTTGCTGATTTCTGAGTTGTACAGACCTTTAGAGTTAATAAACTGTGCTCTCTGGTACGCTAGTGTTAGCCAAAAATGAGGTAAGAGCTGGATTGGTTTAAGACACGTACTTTCGGAGATCACGACAAAGCCAAACAGTAGATGCCGTGCCAAATCCAAGTTTTGCAACGATCCGGTACCTAGAATTAAATATTTCCCCCAAGACGACAGGGTAGAATCGCTCGGCTTTGTAGTCTGGGACCGTTTCCTCCTCTATTTTCATGTGCAAGGGGAGCTTTTCGAAGCCCACTGCTGGGAAAGTGCGGGCGTTGGACGACATGGCCCTTGGATAGAGGACTCCGCCACAGTTGAGCAAGAGTGATGGAAACCGGGCCATACAGGGGTACGCGATTCTGAGGCTGGGTGAAAGTAGTGATGATGCTGTTACCATGGCGATAAATGCGGCCGTGAGTAGGATTCTTGGATAGCGAGGCCAGCACGACTTTAGGACTCGTACACTAAGCAGTTCACCGTGTCAAAGACTATTCGAAAGAAGAGAAATGTTGTTGCAGAAGGCGGTCCCTGTTTGAATGCAGTGGATAGATGCTTGTTGTTCTGAGGAGTAGGTAACGCTTGGGCCCACAGCGTTTGCCTTAGGCACTAACAAGATCCAGCCAACTTCCTGTCTCGACAAACACTGCCGTAGGGTAAGGGTTAGGTTTAATCGCTATAAGTGATTTCGAAAGCCATGTCTTGCGATCACGCAGCTACTAATGTCGGGGCCTAAGAATGTAGTTCTTTCTCAAACTCTAAACTTACCCTTATTTGAAGTTAGTGTTCCGGACCATTACTTCGAACCTTACATGCCTCAGTTTCTCATTTGATAAAATTACATCCAGGCCGATAGCGCCGATAACCTCTTCAGCTTTTGTGTCTCTATATGCCGCGAATTGCTTTCTTTTCATCGTCCATGTCCAACACATATCTTCAGTTTACCAATTCATCATTGTCATTGTGATGCTGATACTGAAAGCCCTTTGGCCATGGCTCAATGCCTAATAATGCACTTGCCAGAACTCAGAGGGAAATTGTATTCTGCGTAATAGACGCTCTAAATGAATGCAAGCAATACGAAGTATGATGTGCTAGCTTTTGTGAGCTGTGTTTGGTTAGGGACGGAGCGAAAAGTTGTTACTTATTTTTTGGAATTCCTTCCTGCGGGCTAAGCAATTCTCTCGGTGAGATCGAGTATACTCCTGCCACAGTGGATTACCTGGCAGTGTACAAGAGCGGAAAGACCGACTTCAATGGAAGCCATTGACCCTGAACGCCCGTTACACTCATGCATCAATTAACTAATAGATGAAGTTCGTCGTGGCTGAGTAACCATCCCACTGGTCTGAATTGCCCATGTAGTGTGGCTATTAACAACGCCGGAGTTGGCAGTGGCGGTCACACTTGAGTTTATACTTCGCATTCGACCACAGAGACACTGGCATATTGAAGGATATCCGTGACTTTTTTAGCATATACATTATTGCAGATATTGAACATTTTATAGCCTCATTCCTCAAGGTAAAAGACAATGGAACCTACTTGATTCACAACGTCTTTCAAAAGACTTCCTCTACAACCATACTCCTACTGCACCAGAAGAATGCTCAACACACAGAAAGTAACTGCAAATGATAAGCATTAATGACTTTATAACTAAATATTTATAACATTTCAAGGACGTTTAATTGCTGTTATCAAGAATTTGTAAAGCTGGCAGAACTTGGGACGTAGTGAAGAGTGGATATTGGAATTCGCGCTACGCCTAGTCGGATTAATACTGAGATGAATTCACAATTGAACCTTTCAATGTGTAAGGAGATCTGTATTTATACTCTATACTGCTGTGGGAAAGATGAAAGCATTATGGAATTATTTTGCCGAATCTCAAGATGGTCTGCATTGAGTAACCTGGTCTTGTTGAGTATTTTGGTTTCTTTGAGTATTTTGGTGTTCCTGCGGTACTGATTTTTCCACTACGTCTCGGGATACTGTGAAACCTTGAGCAGTGGTGAGTGGAAAGACAGAATCGTGGTGAATCTTTATGAAGTCTGGAAGTTCCTCATCTTACCGTCGTCTACAAGTAAGCACAATCCCTTATCTGGGCTCAAGCGTTTGACACTTGAGATGACCTCTCCTTCTTCGTCAAGAACCGACTTGAGAACTGCAGAAGGACTCTCAAGACCTTGGGCTGAGTGTACAATTATCGTGACTACTTTGCTGTTCTTGTTTGCAAACAGGACTCCGCTCAAGTTCTGAGATGCAAAAGCTCGAGTAGCCACGTCAAGATCGAACCCTATTTGGGGGGGACTGTCTTCAGCGTTTCCCATGGCTCGATGGATCCGGGTTATTTCCTATTGATACCGACACACAACCGAATTGTGTCGGTCAAGTCTTCAGTCAGTTGGCCGTTTTCTATGAATAGCAGGCGGTTGTCACATGCTTGCTCCCAACCCCGGGGCGAGGGAAGCACTGTTTTTAGGTCGAATCCTTCGCTCAAAGCTGCCGCGTAAATTACATCGAAGTGCTGGGGGACGGCAAATTGAACAAGCCCTTCAAAAGCCTCTTCAAACGTGGCCTGCATGCTCTCAAGCCAAGTCTTCCTTTACCGAATTGATCCTCGGCCTTTTTGCAATACCAAATGTGAGCTTTCTTGTCCTAACTTGTACTTCTTGTACTTCTTGTACTTTTTGTTCTTCTTTACCTCGTGATGAACAAGACGGCTGCTCAAAATTCCAGTGCCGCAAAGTCCGAGGCTAACTACTCCAATTCGGCGCTGTTGGTCTGGGCGCACCTCATAGTCGAGCACCGGGGCTCTGCTTGGATTGACATGGCGAAAGCCACTTCAAATAATAAACTTGGTGAGTTGCTCCAGTGCTAGATTCAGGTTATCTGCATAGTGATAATAGTTTATTTTCTGATTTTCTGAGTTCTTCTCCAATGCCAGCTTCTTCTGAGCAATCAGATATGATGTATCAACACGAATCAGACTCTGCGGCGGCATAACTAGATGACTGAGCTTTTCTTTCTTCGCGGTGAAGATTCTAGCCGCTATTTTGACGTGTGCTTATCGCTCGAGCATAGACTCGTGAAGAAATTGCATCTTGAAGACGACGGAGGAGCACTCGTTGATGATGAACGTTCCATGGAATAAAATATCAACGCCCTCAACTTTGGATGTCGTTTATTTTAGCTTTGGCTTATACTCCTGTAGAAGCCGGTGAAGGAAGTCCATTGTGAAGGAATTCAGCTGAACCCCTCCCAGAACATGGTCACATATTTCAACGCTGGGGTTTAAAGTGTTTGCGAGCATGTGTCACGGCCTTTTCGTAGGTGTCATTATTTTTTGATTGAGTTTCTGTATTCCCAGCAATATTGAGGTCGTCAAACAAATATTCGGCGAAAAATCATTACGTTTTGACGTCGTCGTACTTCCCAAAGCTAAATTTTCACCACGCTATAGGCCTTCGCAGTTTCGGCGGTACCTAAATTGAGCTTCGATTAGCTTGTTGCAAATTGGATGTTACGGTAGTGGGTCAGACTGCACGCTTTGATGCAACATTTCATACTCACACGTTGCAAAGATGCTTGGGATTTGAGCCGGGGAACCTACCACTCAAGACAAGAGAGCACTAGTCGAGCAAGTTGGAAGGTGTTGAAGATTGCAAAGTGGCACTTTGATTCAACTCTTTGCCGGTAATGTGATTGTGTTAGGTATACGGAGAAAGATCGGTTTCAAGAAGCTGTAATAGTCTAGCTATTATACGACTACTCGCCGCGAGATGACTAATTAATAATACTGATGGTTGTTCCGCAAATCCAACCATTTGGGACCACCTTTACCATCCTTTGTCCTAGCGTTGTGTGCCAGTAATTAGTCACTTTAAACAAAGGTTTGAGGGGATAGGGATGTCTGGGAGCTTTCCGACACTTTGCCCGTTCCTCTTTGTGCATTCTTGGTGTTGCGACAAAGCGCAAGCACGTCATGTGTTGGCTCGTTCGTGTTTTGTGTCTGGGGAAAGCGCTATTGGGTGAGCATCGTAGTAAAATGAAACATGATAATAGCTTTCCTGAATCAAGAGGTATGTTCAAGAAAATACGTCATCTGTCTGGCAAAAAACGTTCTTGCATTGTGGTAATTCCACACACATATGGCGACAACCTGAATCAGGCAGCCTGCCTGGGCTGGTATGCTAAGGGGTGGAAGTAGCCTGGTTGTCTTGGGCAGAGCTCTTTGTGCTTTCAAGTAGCAATCAATACGACTAGGACCTGGCTTAGGTTTCGGTATCTGAGGACAACTAAACACGCATCATTGGGTTTTTTACACGGCATCATTCGCTACCCCAAATCGAGCCGGACGGCCCACACATACAATTTTTTCTGTGACTTACGTCTGTTTAATTTCACAGCCTTGTTGAGAGATGTGTGTTATTTAAAGCTATTAACGCCGCTGTGCCGGCGGCTCGTATTAAATAAATTAAAGTTAACTAGCAGCCTCATAAATAGGGTCATTCCAGATTAACTAACTTAGTGTTAGTGTAAAAACAGGTGTGCTCTTAGTCAAATCGACTTCTATTGAGTGTGATGGAGGGGAAGGAGTACATTGTGCTTGAAATGCAGCAGTTACAGCTTATTATGACCCAGCCTTGTGTGGCTGTGAGAAACTTAACCTGTATTTTTATAATGGAAATTATATGAAAAGGCATTTGACTTAATTTAGACTAGCGAATAATGCCGTGTAAAAAAACCGAATGATGCGTGTTTAGTTGTCCGGTATCTGAATGCCAAATTTCTCAAACAGGGCGGTTCAGGGCTAACTTTACTGTATTGGGCTTAGTCCCGGCCGCTAGCAAGCAAAATATGCGCCACAGCCGGGACCAACAGCGTCGGTCCGGGCCGGCCATCGGCCGTGAGTGGGGTAAGAGCCCACTTGACCTTTGGAGAGATCTCGGCACCCTGTAGGAAATCCATTACGGTGGCAGTACGGTATAATATTATTGAATAACTCATTGGAGTTTCTATGACGTTGTGTGGAAAGAGTTTGTCATCCATGGTGATTAGTCTTCAGCTGGATCGCCTGGTTAGCCCGAAAAGACAGAAAACCAAATCCTGGACCACATTGATATGTCTGAAATAGCTCAAGCTGACTGTCCTGCGCCAATTCAGCCCCGGCCGGCGTGAGATCAACAGCCCACATTAACGTGGCTCACTTTGCGTCAATTGCGGGATAGGAATTTACGAACATCCAATTGCTGTCATTTGCACCCCGGTATCATGCATGGTCATACTTAATTTTGTTCCGCCTGCTGTGGATGCCGCAAACATGTTTCCTTTTTCCTCGAAAAAAATCTCAGTGAATTGCACAGTCATGATCCATAAACCTTGAAGAACAAGATA